CAAATTCACGAAGATACCGTACAATAGTTTCTCGGCAGTCTGCCTTGGAGATACCCTTCGATTTTTCCTGAGTTTAACGGAAACCGTATCGTCTATCGTCAAAATCTTATTTATAGCACATAAGAGACATATTCATCTAGGCTGATCTAATTCCAGTATCTTAAAATGCAGGTGAATGATAGCGGTTTCGAGAGATTCTTTAGTTTGTTGACTGGAACGAATTTATGTTCGACTTGGGCGAATGACTGCTCCGTGGCACTTATTACCTATCAAAGCGTAACTCTCAAGAGGAGGAAATGGAGAGTTCTGGTACGGTGTGTGTGAATGTTGGAGCCTGACGTGCTAATTGTGATCGTTTTGATGAACTGAGGTTCGGAGTGTCGTGCCGATCCGACCAGTAGAGAATTATTTCCTGAAATCAGATGTCATTAATAAGGATTTCAGAAGGATATCTTAGCAACAAGGCTTATTTAACTATAGCTTTCCTAAACTTGGTTTTCTATTATTTGCCTTAAGCACTTCATATCTCGCTATATCGGACCTGACTTGATGCCAGACGTCTGATCTGATATTACATTTAGCAAGCAATGCAGTGAATCCATTGTACCATTGAAAATTCCATGATTTCTATAAAGATCTTTGATGAGGTAGGAGTTTCTATCCCAAACTGATATGGCCTTTTAAAGGTTGGAACATGGAAGAAGGCGTTGTAAGTTTTACATGTTAGCTATAAAGTATATTTTCTCGATGCGAATTTGAGTGTGCGCACTTCCAAAAATTCAGTAGGAACATCTCGTAGCAGGCAGAAAGTCGAAATCTTCTCCCGGCTATATTTTAGTCTGAAAAAACTTTAAGAGATCTCTCTCGCAGTAAAGTAAGAGTGTTAAATTTAACTTCTTCCTTTTGACTTTTTGGGGCTGCCGCAATGTACCTTACTGCCCGCATAGCAAAATCCCCTTTCAAAAAGGGACCACATTGTTGTGACATCTTCAGAATAGACCCCCCCC